AACAAATTCCCGGAGAACAAACTCCCTGGGAGTATTCAGAATTGGGCTGCATGTGTCTAACGAAACTTTTTAGAGCCATTTCAATTTTTTTTCCAAACTCGCTGTTTTTTTTTTTGTATTCATAATTTAAAAACTAATATGGCGGTTCGATGTATTAGAGATGTCAATTTTCAAAAAACATCGATGTATCGATGTACATATGCACGGAAGCCATTTGCTTCTTTCCCACCCTCAATAGTTGAACCACCGATTACATTTTATATAGCACAAACAATTTGAATGTCCGTTGAGTTTAGAAAGGCCAAGAAATCTGAAAAATACTTGCTGAAGAAGTGGTTGCGCATTTTGGCTAGGGCGGTACTGTGGCGAGATAGTGATCGCTGCTCTCCACCTATTCCTCGTCTCTGCAGCTGCCACAAAAGTCGTTCGTTGAGTATCCCAACCTTTTATCATGCGTACCCATTCGGCAGTGCCCGATGATTAGCCCGACTACTAATATGAGAGGAGAGCTGTCAAGCCGAGTGAGTGGTGACAGGCGGGTGCCCTTCTATTGCATTTTGCAATAAATAAAATCTACAAAAAAACCGAAGTCCCGTGGATCTATAAAAAAAAAAATTTTCCCTCACGCGAATATTCCCACGATATTTTGAGAGGACTAAGAAAAGAATAAAGTTTGGTAATGGCATTTTTAGAAAAAGTTTAAATTTTTCCCTTATACATTTCAAATTCCAGCGCCCAATTTTCTATGTAGTTGTGAATCCCTGCTTAATACTTGATCAATTCGTATGTTTACCCTAATCTGTTCTCTAAGGCGTATAACAGTAACTACGACTAAATGCTAACTTTTTTTTTAACAGTGCCCAATTTCTCCGCTCACAATCCCTATCGTCCATACGCAGCAATCAATTGTCTTTAAAGTACTGATCTCTGTGGTTAACTGAAATATTTCAAACCGGCGATCAATAAAAATTTCTCTATGAATAATTCCGAGTCGAGTACAGCAATATGCGCTGCTCTACCGATGAGCGTATTTGCTGTATGCGGAAGCGCATGATGAACATCGTAACGGGCTAAATTCAATTCGGTGCGTGCTAATATTGGCGCGATTATGTTATGAATCATTTCCCTGCAAAAAAAAAAACAAAAAAGAATAACTGATTATTTCCATTATCTAAATACATAAAATCCAATATATAAAAATTTTGCTTGCCTGTAAACCGTTCCCAAATTGGAATTATCGCGTATAGCCGCCTTGCAGAGCTCTAAACGCGCCGAATGCGCTGGCACATAGCGATCTTGACTGGAACCGCAGAGCAGTATATTCTTAAAGTGATGCAGCGTGCTGCGCTGGCTCAGCCGATAGAGAAACGAGCTACGCAGATCCGCTGTATCGCGCATGCAAAGCTGTAGGAGAGAGCCGGATTTCTTCCATTTCTGCATGAACCACATGCCTATAAATAAAAATAAATATGCAAATGAGCATAAAGAAATATGAATATTGAATAATTGAATAGCCGTAGAGCCGCTCATTAACTTACCCATATTGACCAGCCCGCTTGTGTTGTAGAGTGTGCCCAAATGCGGCCCAGACAACGATAGGAATGTATGTAGGCGCGGCAGTAGCGGGCGCATTTGTGAGCGTGCCAAGGCGCTACGCACAATGATTGTACCCAAGGAGTGAGCGACAAATGAAATGCGCGTCGGATTTAGGCCACACGTCTCGATATGATACAGTATTTCAGCGACAAGTCTGCAAGATGAGTTTGTAATTTCGCAGCTAGCAGAACAGTCTTACCTTTACTGCACTTACCTATCGGTCATTGTTTCGAAATCGGAGAATGTATCGCCTTGATTGCGTTCCGACATTAGAAATTCCAAATTAGCGCCGGGTAGTCCCAACTCCAGGTAGGTGCGTACCAATCGCAAATCGGCTGCGTTTCCATCCAATCCGTGAACACAGATAATTAAATGCATACCGTTGGGCGAGAAAGCGCGGTACTCGTCGCTAATGCTAAAGTATGGCAGTTCGGATGCCAGCTTAGCAAAGTCCGAATAAATGCTTCCGGTGTATTTGATTTGTTTGCGAAATTCTTCGCGATATTTTTCGAATTCCAAAAGTGAAGTGTTTGTCGCCTCCTGGTTGGTGTAGCCGGCACCGCCGATTTTCGTACGTTTTGTCAACTGCAGCGACCTGTTTGACTTTTGGCTATCGGTACGCGCCACTGGCATCTGGTTTTGTGTGGTGCTGGTGTTTTCTTTATCCT